ACCGTGCTGAAACAGACATGGCTCCGTCACAATCTCAGACCGTGCTGAAACAGACATGACTCCGTCACACTCATAGACCGTGCTGAAACAGACCTGGCTCCATCACAATCACAGACCATGCTGAAACAGACATGACTCCGTCACACTCATAGACCGTGCTGAAACAGACATGACTCCGTCACCATCACAAACCGTGCTGAAACAGACATGGCTCCGTCACAATCTCAGACCGTGCTGAAACAGACATGACTCCGTCACACTCATAGACCGTGCTGAAACAGACATGACTCCGTCACCATCACAAACCGTGCTGAAACAGACATGGCTCCGTCACCATCACAGACCGTGCTGAAACAGACATGGCTCCGTCATCATCACAGACCGTGCTGAAACAGACATGACTCCGTCACCATCACAAATCGTGCTGAAACAGACATTGCTCCGTCACCATCACAAACCGTGCTGAAACAGACATGACTCCGTCACCATCACAGACCGTGCTGAAACAGACATGGCTCCGTCATCATCACAGACCGTGCTGAAACAGACATGACTCCGTCACCATCACAAACCGTGCTGAAACAGACATGGCTCCGTCACCATCACAAACCGTGCTGAAACAGACATGACTCCGTCACAATCTCAGACCGTGCTGAAACAGACATGACTACGTCACAATCTCAAACCGTGCTGAAACAGACATGACTCCGTCACAATCTCAGACCGTGCTGAAACAGACATGACTACGTCATCATCACAGACCGTGCTGAAACAGACATGGCTCCGTCACAATCTCAGACCGTGCTGAAACAGACATGGCTCCGTCACAATCTCAGACCGTGCTGAAACAGACATGACTCCGTCACCATCACAAACCGTGCTGAAACAGACATGACTCCGTCACCATCACAAACCGTACTGAAACAGACATGACTACGTCATCATTACACACCTTGCTGAAACAGACATGGCTCCGTCACACTCATAGACCGTGCTGAAACAGACATGGCTCCGTAACAATCACAGACTATGCTGAAACAGACATGACTACGTCATCATTACACACCGTGCTGAAACAGACATGGCTCCGTCACACTCATAGACCATGCTGAAACAGACATGGCTCCGTCATCATCACAAACCGTGCTGAAATAGACATGGCTCCGTAACAATCACAGACTATGCTGAAACAGACATGACTACGTCATCATTACACACCGTGCTGAAACAGACATGGCTCCGTCACACTCATAGACCGTGCTGAAACAGACATGGCTCCGTAACAATCACAGACTATGCTGAAACAGACATGACTACGTCATCATTACACACCGTGCTGAAACTGTCATTCCTCCGTCAAAATCACAGACCGTGCTGAAACAGAAATGGCTCCGTCACAATCACAGACCCTAGTGTTGCTACCACATCAGTATGGATATCCTTAGGTGCTAGACCTTTCTTACACAAATATTGAATCACGGCTTTTTCAGCAATTTTGTCCATTTTACAAAAGTCACTTGCCTGGTTCACTTTAGAATAAATTAGACGATCTGCCCACACGGGGACATTGTACATGGTTTACATTTCGAAATATCTGTTATTTAAAGTTCACTCGATATCGCCTGGTTCCTCCCATTGCCACATCGGTTTACTGTGACGTTTCAGCGTTTGAAAGAGGAAAAAAGTATTGCAAAACTTCTTAACGATCATAATCAAATAAACTCTCTAATCATGAATTTAATATCGATTGTTTACTACTTTAATTTTTAATTTCTGTTGAAAACGAAAACACTTTTTTAAGGAAATAACCATCAGTTCCAAAATCACGCTAACACATTGTCTGCTTCCTTACTCGCGTGTATGCAGAATGATGATTTGGCAGCAAAATGTTAAGTCATCACATGTATTTTCATATCTTAGAACTTAGAAAATTTGTTATATAACCCTTACGAATGATATCAACGTGATATCAATCAATGACAAAAGTCGGCCATCGGCCAAACGGAAGTGTAATTCAGACAGGAGTGACAAACTGTGAATATGTTTAACATGAACGAGATGACCGGTTACAATTTAAGATTCGAAGTTCAGCTTGGATATATTTTAAGTATATATGTTCCTTTTTAATTTCTTTTGTCGTATGAAATTAGTGAGTATGAAAATTATGTATTAAAATCGTTTAATGTCAGTCGTCCTTTTTTACGTTTATTGTCAAAACCTTTGAATTTGACCACTGCGTCACAGAACTCAAATAATATATACAGTTATATATCAATACTTAATTACACGCTTATTTTTTTTATAGAAATGTGTATCACAACTGAAAGGAAGAAACGCCTCTGAAATGCCGAACTATAATCTTACAGATGTATGAAATATACACAGCTCATTCCTGATGGCTGAGCCAGTGTAAATTGTTTTCCATAGCTGGCGTTACTCAGCGAGGATTAGTAAATCCGAATTTGGAAAGGAATAGACAAAGGGAGGTTACTCGTGCCAGGACAAAAATCAGGCATAGGCGGGTAAATTCTGAAGTGTACTGGACTGAATGGTACGAGTTGCTTTAAGTTAATCATCTATTTGTGATAAATGTCAACATGAAAACAATTGACATCGTCGGCTAGCTGCTTTCCATATAAGGTAATGATTGAGATTGAAAAATCCAATTAGATGGAGAAGTAATAAACTAATCTATTTGCCTTAGCCAGAGGAGTGATTCCGGAATCCGTGTTGAATTTTCACCTTTGCTTGCTATTTTCCGGGTGGATCCCCCGGAGGCGAGGCTAGATGACGTCATTTTAACTCATTCTCCAAAACGCATCTGTTAAATGGCCAATTTCTAGCGAGTGACAGATAAGATTACCTGTCAAAGATATGACACCTGAGATTTTACGGCTCAGTTTTAATCTTATTTTTTATTGTATAGCCATAGACCTGAGGCACCGAAGTTCTGACTGTCATTTATGAAAACAGACGTTCACTTCAATATGTCTGCTCCAATTTCTAATCAATATAAGAAGTTCTTGTATAAATTTTTTCTTTAATTTACAAGGATGAATAAACTTTCATTTTGTGTGAGAATTCAATATTCGATAGCATTTACTGACTGACCATCAAGTGATCACAACCAAATTGTATAGCTCCTGACGTCACATTTTTAGAAACATTTTCTTCATGTTGGTAACAACGTCAATAGAATACGAGTTCTTAAAACACAATCACAATTTTCTACTGGCCGTGTTGTAAGAACTCCAATTCTTATGACGTCACCCCCTTTCGAGATTTATATAATTTATAAAACATTTAGTGACAAAGAGATACGTTTGTAATTTATCACATGTCTCACTTATCATAAGAAAGTCTCCGGAAAGTCCGGAAACTCCATATAAATCACCATTTTAGTGCGGGCTTTTTTGTTTTTGTTTTTGTTTTTATTTTCTATAAATAAATATTTAAAAAGCAAGAGAGTAAAGGTAAGTGCTTACAAATTTCAAAATAATTCACAATGATATCACTTTCTGATCAAAGTCCAAAAAGTTAATCTGAAACTGACAAATATAGTAAAAGGGTGACTATTTTTTAAATTGATATTGATAATAAAATTTGAATTTACTTTATCATTAATCGATAGTAATTAGATAGACACAGCAACTTGTGACGTAACATAATAGACAGCCTTGACTAATGATGTCTATCTAGACACAGCAACTTGTGACGTAACATAATAGACAGCCTTGACTAATGATGTCTATCTAGACACAGCAACTTGTGACGTAACATAATAGACAGTAATGATGTCTATTAACACAGCAACTTGACAGCCTTGACTAATGATGTCTATCTAGACACAGCAACTTGTGACGTAACATAATAGACAGCCTTGACTAATGATGTCTATCTAGACACAGCAACTTGTGACGTAACATAATAGACAGCCTTGACTAATGATGTCTATCTAGACACAGCAACTTGTGACGTAACATAATAGACAGCCTTGACTAATGATGTCTATCTATCAGAAAATTATAGTTCCCCTTACAATCAGCTATTGAGTAGGCATGTTTGGATAATTTCATAATTATATATTTATTTTCAAATCTCTCTAATGTCTCCGCTGTTATTCGTTTGTAAAAAAAATATGTAATAGATTAAGCTTCTTGACAAGGTCAGCTACTTAAGATCGGACTGATAAAATACTGAACACAAAGCCAAACAAAACCGATGTGAAATCGCTGTGAACCTCAGAATAAAAAAAAGACATTGAAAACAACTTGGAATGTTCTAATCAGCGTGTCTGTATGGTTTGGCTTTTTAAAAACGTATCACTGAAAATTATCACTCAAACAGTAACATTAGTGAAATAGACAATGACAGATTACAAAACTTTACACACATTGAAATGGCCATATTATCTCTGTTAATTATTTCTGTTCGTGCTAATTAAAAATGTGCCTATTTTATTTACAATGAAGTTCTTTCTATTGTTGTACGAAAAAATATATATGATTTATCTTGGATTAAAGATAAATACCTTTTAATATAATACATTAGACATAAGTAATCATATATTCGTTGCCCTGAAATCCCCTACAGAGCTATCCATCCCCTAATTGTCGTGGTATGGTCTTAATTCAGAAACTATCCTGTTTTTCCCTGGTCTATAGTCTACATGGCACAGACATGGCCTAATCATACAGAGGGATCGCGGCGGTGATCAGTTTATCAACGGTGTAGTAAAATCAACAGTGCGTTCTCTTCAATAGAACGCCATAACATATCTGCGAGCCCCAGCCAGAACGGCGCCATTGAGCACGCTCGTCTAATCAGCTTGAAATCACGAGACACGCCTTCGACTCCTCCCCCTTGATCAAGTCAACCATTCAATGGCCGCCATTCTACCGAGCTGGGCTGGATACTTAGTACATTGACAGTTGAAGAGAAGCAGTATGTAGTGTGTTGGTATAGGATGTGATAGTATGGCAGCAAAAAGAACGCAAAGCTCGATGTATTAGTTTTCTCGTCATGTCACACGAGCTAGATCCTATTCCTATTGGAAATATATCCCTGCTGCACGGGATATAGACTGGATGTTTACACTGGAGTGTGTCATAGTATGTTTGTATGGACCGCCACCAGTGGATATAAACAATCTGATGGCTGTGTAGGTGTCGTCACCTGCCACTATGTGATATTACCAAGGATCATAACATATCTCGGAAGAAAATACTCGTGATTATATGTTGTACTGTACAGTTAGTACATTTTCACTTCGCATGGAGTCGAAGTTGGGAATCTTTCTCCTTATGACTATGGTCTACTGTTTAGCAGCGATTGAGGGTAAGTTGTAGTGGTCGTGTTTGGTCCTTTCAAGTCTCATTTTTACCTGTGAAAATATGTATTACCTGTCTAAGTCATGCTGAGATGATGTGCCAGAATAACAAAAACATACCCCGAGATGATATTGATAGTCTAGGCATCTGGTCCCGAAGTCAACATTTTTAAAATATCATAATTTGTTTATCAATTAAGGTATAATTCGGGATACAATGCCGAACAAATGTTCACAACGTGTTAGAGTTCCTTTTTGGATCTGTCAGTCTGAAAATATAGGACATGTATGCGATACCGGTGACAGACAGAGAAAGATACAGCAAGCCACACAGAATAACAACAAAAACACGTGTAGCGAACGCGCCGTTACTGCGGCCTTACAGATGCTGTATCAAGATGACATCCAGGCAAGTCTCTTGATCTACTAGCACAAACTAACTTGTCGTGAAATCCAATCTACACATGTTACCGATATAAATCATGTCTCGACACTCTAGCCCGACACAATATTCAATTTGAAAATTCAATATTTTATCATCCGAATTGAGATACATCGGCACAGCACACGTGTATTCAATGTTCTGTGTGATCATTCGTGTTATCCGTGATATTGAACCTCGTGGCTAGAATTTAATTAGTTGATGAAATTCAAATACATGGATTTATAATCAATACTTAATAAAAAATTCACATAGGGATCATTTGAATTATACGTGAATTTTAACATTATTTGCATCTATGCATTTATGTCTAATTTGTGTTATTTTTCATTTTAAATATTAAAACTGAAATTTCAACCTAAACTATTCAGCACCTTGAGTAACATTTAGGGAATTGTTAACAATGCTAATTGTTTAAATTTAATGGGAATATTTTCATTTCTTGTCCAACCGTAAAATACAATTTTAGTTGACAACAATTTATAATGGGTTGGCAAGCTATGATTATACTGTGATATCTCAAGCATTTCAGGGAAAAAACGGTGATTTTTTGGCTCAAAGTCATAATCGTTGTTAAAAGGTTGTGAGTTGATGTATTTAGTTGACAGTATGGGCGATGTGAAATAGGTTTAGAGATCGTTTATATTTCCGCTTGACGTCTTCTCTAACTCCAGCCGAGCCAACAGTGAGAAAGAACTAATAATGTTTTTGTATAAAAATAAAATTTATCATAACTCATCACATTGAGTACAGGCGGTCTATCAACTAAAAATTCAGCAGTAAAAACCGGACAACAAAGCAAATCTCAAGCCGAGTAACAAATATACAAACAGCTTCTTTTTTTCAATGAAAAAAACCTCTTTAATATTTATATATATCTCATTTCAAAAGAAAATCAATTCACTTTATATGGCCTGTGCGTTAGTATATGCCAGGCGTTGACAGTGTACAGAAATGTAAGAGATAGAATCAGGAGTATTTTCTCCTAGATGTGTTATATGGCTTTTTAATGTTTGTTATAAAAACTCTCTGGCTGAGAGAACCCAAATACTTCTTGTAGGCTGTCAAAATTTAGTATCGAAATTTAGTTCATTTTTTTTCTTTTAAAAGGAAAACTGACTACAAGGTAGATTTTGTGACTATCTGCTGATATTAGTTGACATAGAACACGTTGAATTTTAGTAATATCTTTTCCTATAAAAATGGTTCTTTGAAGATTAGGATGTTTTAGGTCTCGTGATGGATATCGTGAAAACTTGAGAAAATCTCCAAGCCTTGAGAATAAGCCATGCCAGACAGCCAGTAACGACACACACTAGGGGCAGCAGTCTGCTTACAACCCTTTCAAAATGGATTAAGTGTTTAAAATGGTTTAGGATGTTGAAAGGCTTGATATATAAACTCAATATGGTCCACCTCTGGGCGTTTTTCTTGGAACTTCGTTATCAGATTAACTCCGACATAGCGCATTTTTGAAAAAAATATTTGCCTGTTTTTTAATGACGAACACTAACGTAAAACCTCCTACATCTGTTGTTCTACAAGGAAGCAGAGAAATTGATGGTATGTCTGTGTGATTTTGGATTGTGATCTAAAAAATCCTATCTGAGTGAATAAATGTATACAAAGAGAATATTTTTACAACGATGAATTAATAACAAAATTAGAAAAAATACCTGACGCACATTTATCAAACAGAAGTCAAGTGTAATCTATTAGATCGATAATCGATAATTATCGACACTGAATTCTCATCAGACCGGCGTTTCTATGTCCATATACTTTTATCCCTGAAACACGACACCACTCAATTTTATAATGCTCCTCGAGTTTTATTTAAAGTCTTAAAGTCGGCCTAGCTTTTTGAACAGTTAGTTTGCTTAGAGCAAATACTCTCATTACAAAAACAGTGCGGGGTTGGCCCCTTAAGATAACATTGAGGATACACTAGTAATAGAAACCGTCTACCTGACCGAAATTCATACCGTTTTGTAAATGTATTTTGGAAATTATGACTTGATTTGATCGCATATTCGTATAAACACGTTTTTCTCATTTTTCCTCTGACCTAACATTGAACAGTTTTCAAAATGAACCAAAAATCGATGCGCTTTCCGATTTCTGCGATATAAGGAAGGAACCGGTTGCTACCCCTGGTAGTCAACATCCATTCCAGTCAGGTATACCGTCCACCATATTCTATAAATTAACATTTCATGCGCTAGAGTATTATATTACAATTTTATCAAATTTCCTAAAAATCTATACCGCGTAGCGAAAATCTGACATTGATTCCAATTTTCGAGCCGAGAAGCCGGACGCAGAGCCGGATATCTCCCTTACCCATCAAGTTGGTTGCGTTCGATCCGAACTGCTTCTAGACGACCATCTCGTCTGCTGAGGCTACTGGGGTTTATATGGTTCATGTGTGGTTGAAAATTCCACTTAGACGTATTAATTTGAGCTGAATCAAAAATCAAAAACGGAGAGGCGGGGGTTACGTGACAGCCGCGCGCGTGATTTACGACAAATACGCGATCGATAATTCTCTAACAAATTGTGCACAGTTTAAAGCAAGAAGTATTTTGAGCCAGATTTGGTTCGATATGTCATTTTTTGTGTCTCTTACGGTAGGATGTGCTTAGTATAGACTCGATACAATACCACACGATACGAAGTGAAGATCTGACCTAGAGAGAAAGAAAGAAATTGTACCAAATAAATTGTATTGTTCGTGTAATTAACAATATCGAAATTTTCTTCAAAAAAGAAGTATAATTATTGTCACAGATGTGTGAATTAGAAAAGCTAGTCCCAACCATTATTTGGTGACTTTTATTGCGATTTATTACATCATGATTTGTTCGACGGAAAACTGACATTATAACATGTGGCGATATACGGAGGGAAGCAATAAATTTATATGACGTGGAACCACAAAGCACTAGGGAGGGTAAGCGTATGTCTAAAATAGTTTCGCTCTGGGTATGTATTTACAGCAAGGAAATAGAGAATACATGGTCAGTGTCTTAAAATATTATTTTAAGAAATATGAAATAAAAGCTATATTTTGGCGAGGGTGAAAAAAGACAAAAATGACGAGTGTCTGGCGATTTTATAAATTTTCGTAGATAAATGTTCATTACAACATATAAAATCACATACTTCAACAGTTATTTATACTGTTAAACGTAATATTTCCGTAAATTCAGAAAGTAATTTTGTCAAATTAACGCATGTGCTAAGAGACAGCTGTTTTCCGTCACTGCTGAATACAGCAAAACTACAGGTGGCAGGTGTATTCCGACAATGGCAGTGCTAGTGGCAGAAAAATACACATATGTCGACAATGGTACCCTCTGATTAAGAAAATTCGAGATTTATTTAAAGCTGAAAATAAATTGAAGGCTATTAACGCGGTGATTATGTTTGTCAGATGTATTCTAAGAAAAATCAAGGCAGGGCTAGGAGAAGAAATTGATCTTAAATACGGTTACATGTGAAATATAAATATATTAGTGAATCGTTTGTATTGGAAACCGAAATAGCGAATATAAACTGGCATTTAATTGGCAGTTATTCGTGGTTTTCAATTAGGCTATTTTAACCGTCTTTAATTGTAATGTACATATTTGTAGACATGAAGAGAAACCAAATTGACATGTGACTAGCTGGTGCGATTATGCCTGTTCTTCTTCAGACAGAGCTGGCGTCTAGAAGCATTTTAGTATTCTCTGTAAGTGGGTTAATTATGACAACAGTTAATTAACATGCGGCAGTGCATTCAATTTGCCACCAATATATCCTATGTTTATTGCTTGTTGACAGTGTGTGTCGGTGACTTGTCGACGGGAATACCAGCATCAAACCAGTTATTATACCTTGACTGTTAATGCTGTTTCCAAATTATTTACCCAAAATATATATAATTTCTCGAAATATAATCCAGTGTTATTATAACCGTCCTGTACGGCACCACTATTCATGCTTAAACAGTACCTCGAATTTACCTCTCCTATGTTTTTGTGTAGTTGGATTGTTCCGACTAAGATCGACAGTTGAAATGTACTTTCTTTTCTTCATTTATCTCCATGGAAAACTAAAATAACCTTATTTGTTTTTAGCTTTTCTCCATCATACAATATTTTTTTTTTCATGTGTTCTTAAGTCCCTCACAAAAAAAGAATAACTTAAAATTACAAGAAAGAAAACTTACAAAAATCAGTAGAAACTGGGTGTAAATTATAACAAACGTACAGCTGTAACTACTGATGTTTAAACAGATAGACATTAAATTTACCAAAGTTATAGATATTAAATTTACCAAAGTTACAGACATTAAATTTAGATTTACCAATATGCGATTCGAAGTGAATATTTTGTGTTTAATGAAAATAAGAATATACAATTTATGATATCTGAACGAAGGTTTGAAATATTTACTTTCGTATTGGGTAAACATAACTAAAAGCGGGTTGTAATATTTTTTCATTGTTTTCCTGTTTTATTTTTCCCTTTTTTGAATGAATACATGATTTTCCTTGGTCAGGTCTTAGGAAACAGCAG